GTACAAACGGGCACTGGCACCGAAGGGAAAACGAGGAGCAGGATGGAGCGCGTTATGGAAAGTACCAGAAACAACAAGAGAATAAGTACGCACCATGCGACTTTCCCCACTAACGACTCGAGGCTTGATATGATTCCCGGATGACACAAAAGCGAGCAAACTAGAGGCGTCCAAGGATGACAAGAGAGACAAAACAGCTGGCTGGAGGTGTTCACCGACAACACGATAGAGTCTCATACAGATACATGGCAAAGTAACCAGCGTATAGGAGACAACGAGAGAAGAGAAAGAAAGGAAACGGCGGTGTGACGGAGCGGAGAACGCGGACTGAATGCGGAGTACGTATGCACGTGGACATCGACCAAGCTCCACGTTTCGCTGACAGCGAGGGTGCAACGTAGTGTGGTTGGCACAAGTCCGCCAATTCGCCACCTGGCGATCGCCACCCGGCGATCGCCAAGTGGCGAAAATCGTCGGCCCGAAACTGATGGCGAGACCTGGCGATACTCAACGCCGAAAGAACCCGTATCGGTAGTCGTCATAGGTTACAAATGTACATTTTGAAAATACCTGTCTACTTTACTCTCTTCATCCGACCCATTTACGATATGGCAGCCCCAGGAGGTCGTCCTGAAGATGCCTTTACTATGGAACACTTCCATAAAATCAGGCGTCTAGAGAAGCAGAAACGGTGGATTGTGCAGTGCGAGTACTGTGATGATCCACAAGATATTGAGAACCGTGACAAACGACCTGTCATTCATCTCTCGAAGGCAGGACTATGCCCTAATGCACCGGACAAAGTCAGGGCTGAAGCTTTGAGGATCCTTATGAAGAGGGCAGGCATGGAGGAACATCCTGTACTAGGCACTGGCTCTGTCGACAGCCCTGTCGATGTTGATTCACAGGTTCAGGTCAGCGGGAAGAAGAGGAAGGTAGACAGTGGAGCCATGGATCAGTTTGTGGACCGAGCAATGACACAGGCGGAGGAAGATGAAGCCAATCTGCGCTTTCTTCGGTAAGCCAGATCCGTTGCAATGGTGCATGCACATCTAAACTCTCATGCAAGCTTCATTATTCACACCAACACATCCTTCCGCGCTGCCGAGAATCATTATTTTGACCAATTCTTAGCAATTGTCAGGCCATCATATAGCCCTCCCACCCGATATGTCCTTATGACGAAGTACCTACCAGGTGAAGAGTCCCGGGTGCTGGATTCAGATATCCGGAGACTAGCCACTCGAAAGAACCTCACATATATCATAGACGGGTGGGAAGACCGTCTGGGCCGCAGTGTGTATGGGTCAATCGTCTCCGAAGTAGGGCACCATCCTGTGATCCTGGGGCTGGAGGACATGACGGGCAGAAGAGCCAATGCAGACGCCATGCGAGATGTCAGCCAGGTCTCACTGACAAAGAAATCTGTCGATATCTCGCAGATTCTCTGTGTCTGTACCGACAATCCGACGACCATGCGTGCATTTCGTCGGAAGTGGGAGACGGCACATCCACACCTCCTGGTGCGTGATGAACTCTGATAGTATTGCAAGTTCTCATGCTCATATGATCGGGTACAGACCATTCCGTGCTTCATGCATGGTATCAACACTATTATTGGCAAGGTTGTTGCCTATCCTGCGATGAAGCGTATTGCGAGCCAGAATGCACGAATCGTGTCCTTCTTCAACAGCTCTCACTATTGGGGGGGGCAAGTAGATATGCTGGCCCACGAAACGGGAGTCAAGAGGTCCATGAAGACCAATACCGAGTCCCGATTCTATGCATTGGTTCTGCAATGCATGAGTACACGCGATCATCGTGATGTCCTGAAGCGCATTGCTATCCGTGATGATGCCCAACGGTCCATTCGAGGGCTTTCGCCTGTCAACAAGGATGTCCTTGCGTTTATCATGGACTCCTCTCACTGGTTGCAGAACGATCAGCTCATTCGCATCACCAGGCCACTAGTCGATATCATCGGAAACATTGAGGGCCGTGACGCGAATCTTGCGGACTGTATGCTCGAGTTGATTTGGGCACACCGGGAGGTGAACCGTCGCCTAGCGTATGAAGAGGGCGATGACATCGGCTTTCTCTCGCACACCCGCCGCACCCTCAACGATCAGTTTCATGCCATGAACACGGACTTGCATTGGTTTGCACTCTTCCTGCACCCATTGTGCCGTCGTCTCGCTGTTTCCTCGGCTTCTCATTCTCGCAACATCACGGCCGCAGTCAGCATTGCCTTGGGCATTGCATACAAGTGGAGGTGGACGAAGACGCAGACGCAGAAGCTCATTACCGACATCAAGAACTACGGCATAGTGAAGGACTCTTTTGGCGGGGCGAAGGCCGATGGAAAGGCCTGGTGGGAGGAGCTGGTGGTTGATGCGAGAGAACACCCACTGAAAACTATGGCCGTGCGTATCTTGACCATTGTCCCCCACGCCGCGGACGTTGAGCGACTATTCTCGAGCCTCGGAGGAATCCAGTCGGTCCGACGATCACAACTCACCATCCCCCACATGGAGACTTTGGGAGCTCTCCGCAACTACTACAATGCTGAACTACACGATCTCACTGTCAAAATGGGCAAGCAGACTCGCCGCAGACACGCCCATATGCACACGCGGGACGAGCCAGGAGTCGATGCTGCCCGTGCTCAAGAACTTCTTGCCAGCTTCGTATGGACAGGGCCTCTC